TCTTTGGAGCACATCACAGGACTGACATGCCAAGAGTCTAGGCTTTGTACATGGAAAGTGCCAGCCCTGCCACCAAGACAAGAAAGGCCACCACTAAGGGGCTCAGGCATGGGGGGGACAGGTGTGGGTACCCAGCGCTCTTGCCCCAGAGCACGTAGCCGGCACCTGGGCCTTGAGTGGTTACTCTTCCTTCCTCAGGGGTGCCCTGGCCACCCCCTTGCCCAGGGCCCCTGGAAAGTGTGGGACCCTGGAGCTGAATGAAATGAAGGATGTGATGCCACGTGATTGCTTTGCCCCCCACAAGGCTGACAGAACCGCCCCCCACTCCACCCTCTCCCCACTGAAGCGCCTGGCCCCTGGCCCAGTCTCCTCAGAAAACAGAACCACCTTGTCTCCCCTTCTGGGGCCTTCTCTCTCCCACCGGCTCTTATCCAGGAAGTGGGGACTGGGATGGTGGTCAGGGGACAGCACCCCAGGATTCTTTCTCTGCAGGAACTTCGGTCATCCGTGTGACAGCGGTGGACGCAGATGACCCCACAGTGGCAGACCACACCTCTGTCATGTACCAGATCCTGAAAGGAGATGACCACTTTGGCATCGATGAATCCGGTCTGTGGGATTTGCCCTTGTGGGCATGCACCACCTGGGTGTGGGGGAGGGGAAGACACACCCCAGGTTCAGATGCTGAGGGACGCCTAGGCTGGCAGGTGACACCTACATACTCAAAGGTTTGCCAACCATGGAGTCACACGGCCCAAGAGGTCACCAGCCTCACACATTAAGATAAGGTACCTGGTGGAGGAGAAGGAAGCAGGTGCCCAAGACATGGACTCAAGTTCAGGAAACAAAACCAGGACCTTGCTACCCAAGCAGTGACAGGAGGGGCAGTAGAGAATGCTGTTTGGCCAGTCTGGTTTCCACACTCAGCTCTGCCACTCACCACCTCCAGAGACCTTGGCCAGTCCACTATCGCCTGTAAATCTTAGTTTCCCCACCTAGGAACTGGACACATAGATATTCATTCATCTTGCATGATGGCTGTGGTGTTTGAGATAACGTGGCCCCAAGCCACTATTCAGTCAAGGTGACTTAAGAGGAAAACTCGAAAGACTGAGTTGTAGGAGCCAGACAGAAGTCCAGCTGGCCAGACCTGGACACACCGTGAAATACATAGCATAGACACCACCGTTATCCAACGGTGCAGCAAGGCAGGCACCGCTAATCCATCACCACACTCTTTCACCCTGAGCCTAGTGTGGCGACAGGGGTTTTCTCAGGACAATGGTCTGCTTGGCCAAGACCAGGGTTGGTCAGCTTGGGCCCAGCACTGCGGTAGTGGGCTTAGGCCAGTGGTCTCAGCCCTGGCTACACGCGAGCGTCACCTAGGGAGTTTTTAAGTCAGGTTCTCCGGGGTGGTCCCCAATGTCTAGGTCTTTGCAAAGCTCCCCAGGTAACATCGGTCCTGCTGGGACATTTTTTGCAGGAGTAATTTTCACGAAAACCTCAAACTTGGACCGGGAGACCCAGGCCAGATACGAGGTCGTGGTGGAGGCACGTGATGCTCAGGGGCTCAAGGGGGACTCAAGCACGGCCACCGTGCTGGTCACTCTGAAAGATGTCAACGACAACTTCCCCATCTTCACCCAAAGTGAGCTCCTCCCCTGGGGGCCCAGAGGGCGGGGAAGGGTGGAGGGTGTGTGTGTGTGTGTGTGTG